TAATCGTACATATTTTGTACGATTAAGCATATAAAAAAGGTATATATTAAAACTAATATATTATTAAAAATAAATAGAATTTTAGGACTTGCTAATTGAAAGATCAAACATTCTAAATAGAAATACCTTTTTATTTTGAATTTTTTAACTCAATATTTGTGTGATTTTAATTTCATTTTTTGTCCACTCAAAATAATTACAAACATACGCGTGATTTAGACACACTTTGGTAATTAAAAAGTTTTAACATTGGTTAAAATAATGAAGTTATTGAAATACAGGTTTATTAAATAAACTTTAGTTATCGTTATTTTAAGTAGAATTTTTTTTTGAAGAGGAAGGTCATGTTCAAGATTCAAATGATTCACTGTTAATTAATAAAACATCTGAAGTTAAAATTAGGCACCAAATTATTGGTTATAACAAAAACGTCAGGAAAATTGTAAAAATGTTTAAACGGTTCCCAAACAAAAATGAAAATTATTTGCAAAAGTATGTAAAAATTGAGTTTAGAAAGATCATCCATTTAATTATGGGTTACAAAACCCAATGGAGCAGCTTGTTGCTTATGCTAGACCGATTAGTGAAGTTAAAATTAAAAAAATTATGTAAAAAAGCACTTCTAGATTTAGAATTGGATTGTAACATTGATGATTCAATTAGGATGAACGAGAAACAATGTAGAATGATATTTGATTTAGTAGTACTTTTACTTCAAATAAAGTAACTTGTGGTCGCACTTTATTAACAAGACGCAACTTTAATTTCTTCTTAGTACAGGGTTCATGGCAGTTTTAAAAATTCATTTTTCCTGAGTTTTCCCTGATTATTTCCTGATTTTCATTTGATTTCAAGTACTTTCCCCCTGATTTCGGGTGGTAAAAAGTATATAACTTTCCTTGTTAATGTTTAAGGAACTTTCCTAACTGAATCCATGTTCTCCTAACACTTTTATCAAAATTTTAAAAGAAAATAGATATTTCTTCTTAGTTAATTGATAAAAATCTGTTAAAAGGAAGATTTTTAAGTAATAAAAAGTAGTTTAATAAGAAAAAAAATCAAATAAATACAAAAAATATATTTAAAAAATAACAATTCGAATCTATATTATAATCTTTCTATGCAATTTATTAATATTTAAAACTTATTCCTTTTTTTTATTATTTTATTAGAAATATAAAATAAAGTTTTTTTAAAAGATATTTTTAGCAAAGTAATGTTTTAACAACATATAAATTTTATATGAGAACTATTCTATATAAAGTTATTTTAGTAACTTTCTTTTTTGTTCTAAGATACCAAGTGTTAGCTTTAATTTCTTTATTTCTTTGTTTTTCTTATTTGCTTTTCGTTTCATAGCATTAGCTTTAGAAATTAACCCTATATCTTGCTTCTCCTTGGCTTCCTCAACAAACTTTACAAAATTAAGCTGCAACATTTTACTGGTTTTCTTCAGTTGATCTCGTCTTGTTTCCACAACTTTTATTTCATCGCTAACAACTTTTCTTGCCAATTGGCTTGCTTCTTTTTTATTAGTTTGTTATTGAACTTCGGTAGCTTCTATATCTTTCATGGGCTGATTTTACATTGATTATCATTTTGTTTGTAATTTCAATATTATGTGGCTGAAGATTATTTGATAGCATATGATCTTTAACTAAAGGTCTTGCAGTTATTGATTTTTCATTCAAATTTTGTTCGAGTATTGTGGCATTTATATTAAAACCTCTCTTAACTGAAGCTTGTCCATGACTCTGATTCAAAAGCATTTTGACAGTTGATGTCAACTCGTTATATTTATTTAGATTGTAATTTTTAAAATAGAAGCCGTCTAAACTATCTGTATCTCTATTGAGTTCATGAAATTTGTTTAGATAAACCCTTGATTCTCTGAAGAAATTTGTAAATTGATTTATAGCTTTATCAGAAAAGACTGGTGAAAGATACTTTAGGCTAATTAAGTGGGTCAATTAAGACTTGTACCTCTTCTTAGCATTTTCTGGAGTCATTATTATCAGTGTATTAGGGTTAAAAACCTGAGAATTGCATACAATGATAGACCTGAATCGAGTTCACTTAATTAACTTTTCAAATAATCATACATACATGTTAGTGCAATCTTTTTGGAAACTTTGAATATCAGTAATTGGTATTATATCTTTTTTTTTTGTAAAGAAGTTAATCTTGTTTCAGCTACAAATCCTAGTTTGATTTGATTTTCCTTAAGTATGTTATCTTTTTTATGAAAATCAACTTCTGGTATCAGGCTTTCACAGGAAGACGTGCGATTTCACATCTTTATATGACCACGCAAAAAAAAAATGTTTTAACGATTTGACCACAGCATTTTTTTTTAATTTAAAAACGTGCTACAAAAACTTACCTAAACTTATCTGAAAAAAAAATTTAAAAAAATAATAAATATTAACGAAAGAGAAAATAAAAATAAATACTTAGTTAAAGCAAAAACACAATAAAATAAATACATATATATAACGCAACTAAAACAAAACTCATCAAACTAAAATCTTAGTCTATTTAATTTACGCATTAAAAAACCTTTTCATCTTTGTTTCAATATTTTTATATATTTTTTATTTATTTAATATGTTCAAAAGTTAAATATTTCTTATAAAAAATACATAGTTATATAAATAAAATAAAAAAATATTTTATTAATACTTTTTTTTTAAATTAATTAGAAGCGTTTTTTTTTTACTCCATCGAAAGCGTTTCAATAATATAAAAGCATTTAAGATCAAACTTATTAAATAGTAACGGTTTTCTAAAACTTTTTTTTTCATCAAAATTTTGTTTATCTTTTTAAATGCATTAACTTTAATCATTCTTATATTTAAATTCGTTAAAGAGACTTTCGTAGTCGTAGAATATCATCGTTTATAAAAACAAAACAATTTTTTATTTTTTAACAAGATTTATTTTAGAAATGAACACTTAAACAATTTATATGTTTTAAATTAAAAAAAATATATACAACTGTCAATTATATTTAAAAAACAAAACTTTTTTTCAGTAAATTGTTACTTTATTAAAAATCGTTTAGCTAATATAAAAACATTTGTTAAGAAGTTTTGATGTAATTAATTTCACTTTTTTAGAATATTTTTTATTTAGCGCATTTCTAAAATGTTTTTTGAATTAGCCACGGTCAAACCGTCATAGCAAAATGAAACTTGCATGGTCATATAAAGACTTGAAATCGCACGTCTTCCTGGGAAAGCCTGGGTATAGACCAATTATCAATAACTTTGTGTTTCACAAACAAGCTCAGTATGGTCCGCAACAGTCTTTCTAAGAAACTATACATGAATGGAATCATTGGCTTGTCAATTAGGTATACCAATAAATATGACTTTAATATGCTGGCAACAAACCTGAAAACTTCAAATTTTAAAAGAATAAGTTTGTCTTAAACAGCTTTTTTGACAATAATTGTCAATTTAATTAGTAAAAAACTTTTTGAATTGTGTTGCTTTAAAGATGGTAACTTTTCCCAAAACTCAATTAACTTTCATATATTGGGCCAGATTTCAATGCAACAGTCTGCAACAAATTTGCTATCAACACACCTTTTTGCACAAAAGAAAAGAGGGTATTTTGTTGCATCTGTGACTGTTTCATAATCTTGACACCTAGCCGGGCTGTCATAAAGAATTTGCCAACAACCTTTCAGAGTTTCTTTAATATTCCATGGGGTTGATTTGATAGCTGTTTAAAAGCACCATGAATAATATGCAAGGAGCAACTTCCAATATTTTTAAGCTGTGGCACCTTGTTGTTCTTTCTGTTCTTATATAGATCATCTAGAAATTTCCAATTTGTAGAAGGAAATTTGAAACATTTTACTTGAATTAAATCTTGATAAGTTTTCGTTAAAATGAGTTTCAGAAGTTGAAGAATGACCAAGAAAAGCTGGTGTCCAATATCTTACTTTAACTTTATCATTGACATCCCAATATCGAACAAGTAGGTCCATCTGACATGTTTGGGTTATGTCGTTCAAACTCTTATCAAAAGATACAATATAACAATCTGATTTTGTGATTTCTTCTTTTAAGAGTGTCTTGAAATATGGTGCTAGTCCATGGTTAACAATGTATGATACTTCTGAAGAACTCATGGTGAAATCTTCTGCTACCTTGCTGTCAGGAAACATCTTTTTAAAAGTGTCATTTAAATTTGCAAATGAATTATTAGAGTAGCAGCTCATTGTAAGTTTTAGTTCCCATATGATCTCAGTATTAGTTGATAAAGATGATTCAATTGAAGAATCAATAGTTCTTTGTTTTTTGGTGAAAAATATTGTATTTAATATATATATCCGATATGATAATTATTATTGTTATCTAATTAGCATTTTATTGTTAATTATTACTACTTTTTAAAATTTAATTTAATAGATACATCAAAGTGCAAATACATCGACTGATGTAGCTGTAAGCGCAGAGGAGTGTACATGCATCGAATGATATAGCAATATGGAGAAACATCTTTTTAAAAGATGTTTCTCCATATTGCTATATGTATATATATATATATATATATATATATATATATATATATATATATATATATATATATATATATATATATATATTATTTTATTTAATTCACCTCCTCAAGGCCGAGAAGGCCACTACAAACGAGGAGGCTACTTATTTGTGGTTATAACCCTCTCTCAACTCTATAACTCCAAAACACAAACCTTGATGAACAAGGCCGCTGCACGGAGAAACGAGTTGAGCGCGGTACTACCAGGGATAATCGTTATGTGCAAGGAAAACTCCGCTATGTTTTCTTAAAATACAACAGGAGTTTATATTTTTATTTTTATTGAAAAATTTAATGAACACTGTTAACAAAAAAAGAAAAAAATTTGAAATATGTATGCATTACAATTTTAAAAAAGAAATTAATTTGAAAATTGTTCAGATATTTATTAGTATCAGTTGATAAATAGCAACAAGGAAAACATTTACCTATACTTTTTCCATTTTTGCGGATTAAGAACGTGATCTGGAACTTGTTTAGGAAGCTTTCTCTTGGCGCTATCTTTATTTTTATTTGGTGCTATGTCAAATCTGTCTTCACTCTGAAATTGAATGTTGTATTTTAGCGGGTAGACGCATTTTTCGTAATCAATAACAACATTTTCATGCTTTTTTTGTATATCATCTAAATGACCAAAAATTGAATCAACTCGTTTTTTAAAATTTTCGTCTTCACCATCTTTTTCTGATTGCATTTTATAGGTAATTAAGAAAGTTTTGATAAATTATTATTAGTCAAGCTATATCTAATCGATAGCAATATCCAATTGATAGCTTTACATAGTAAATGTTTTTGTGACAATTCTGTTTTAACTTATTTGGTTCACCTCATACTGATCTCTGGTTAATCTCAATTTAAAAAAATCAAGTATAGATAAAAATAAAATATTAAAATAAAATATGGAAAACGTAATACTATAGAACATACAATAAAATCTACTTTATGAAATAATTTTGTGTAGTTATTTAATGTAATACGGCAATAAACATCATAGTGCAACTTTGATAATAAAATAATAATAAAAGTGTATATATATATAAATATATATATATATATATATATATATATATATATATATATATATATATATATATATATATATATTACCATATTAAATTATATATGATATGATGGTAAAATGTACAAATATAAGTTACTATATATATAGTTTAATGTAATTTACAATTTATTAAATATTGTTATATTAAAATTAATAATTTTAGAAGTTGCACAGATTGTTACAAGGTAAAAAAATATTCACTGCAAACAAAGCATTTCAACTCAATAGTTAAAATTAAGAATTACAGAATTAGGATAATACAAAGGTTTTCCATCAAAGCTGCATCAACTTTATTTTAGTGTTAGTTTATACATAAGTAAATAAAAAAGATTATTATAAAAAAAAAATCTTATTTATGAATGTTTAAGTGCCAAAAATTACTGATTACCATAGACTAGAATTACCCATACACTAAATACTTTTTTAGACATTTTTTTAAATTAAAAAAAAAAGGTTGAAAACCTTACACAGACGCATCAAAAACTACACAGAAATATATCGCAAGACCATGATAAAACATTTAGTTTGTATACATTTTGTTTTATTTTTAATTAAATCTATCAAGCAATAAAGTTAAAACAAAATATTTAAATAAAATTATTATTTTAAGAGTTTTTAATTAGAAAGTTAATTTTTTGCAAAATAATTGAAAATTTTAAAAACGAAGAAGTAAAAACAAATATAAATATCTAAAAAAAAAAAAAAGAAAATTGCTAAAATAATATTATAAATAATATATTTACTAATTCTCATAAATACAAAAAATTATTTTTAAAATATTTGATTATAAATGCTATTTTTTCAAAAGAATAAATATTAACTTTTTTTTATTTTTTCAATTTCCTTTTCTTTGCATTAAGTTTTCTCTCTAACTCTTCTTGCTCTTTCATTGCTTCATATTCGTCTTCAATACGTGCAATACGAGCACTAATAATAAATAAAAGCAAAAAACAAAACTATTATTATAGTATCAAATATATAAATACATTAAAAATCATAGTCACATCATTAGTAATCATACAATATCAATTAATTTTATAATATTGAATGAAATGAACAATAAACTCACAATATAACATTAAGGTTTGTTGATTTTTTAATTTATTTTTCCTTTCAAATTTAAACGGATAGAGGGTAATTTTGATGAAGAACTTTATGGGGATTCTGAATCTGGTTAAAAAAAACTTTTTTAAATGATGTTTTGCTGGCATGGTCAGCGCTGTTTTGAATAAATAAATGACTAAAATATAACTAATTATTAAGGGGAAATGCTTAAATTTAAACAAAATTAAAAATATTTTTTTTATAATGTTATTGATAAACTCAATAACTATTATGTTGAATTTTAAGAAAACTTTATATTTAGACAAAAAATGCATAAAAATGACCGCATATATTGAGTTTTTGTGAATGTTATTTTTACAAAAATAACACAAATTTCAAAAACTACACTTTTTCATATTTTAGACAGAGAATGTGACATTATACACTAGGGTTACGACTTTTTGACTTTTAAAAAAAAATTAATTTCCTGTCATAAATTAATGAACTTATTTATTTACATAAATTAATGAAATTATTAAAAAACATTGAAAACATGTTCAATTCCTCTCGGTTGCAAAAAAAATCTCACACCGCAATTCAAATTATGTTTTGTCATTTATTTAATCTTGTTACTGCTACTAATAATATGTGTGGTAAACCATTTAAAACTTCTATAGATTAGAAGTGTTGTAGAACTTTAGAACATTTTGGAAAATAACAGAATATTTTAGAAGACTTTAGAACATTCTAGATCAATTTAGAACATTCTGGAATATAATAGAACATTTTAGACTATATATAACTGCTCATCAAATTTTATAGTTATTACAGAAGCAATAATTTTATAGTTAAAGCAACACATGACGATGTACAAGCTTAGCAAAAGTAGCATTCAGAAGAACAAAGATATTTGGACCAATAATTTGTAAAATTTGAAGACTCTCATAAAAGAAGAATGGTCACTTTAGAAGAATATTCACTGGAAGAAAAGTACAGAATGCCCCTATAAAAGCAAATTATCGGATGCTACCATTTCCTTGGACCAAAAATCAAAGGAAGAAAGGAGCAAATAGCGGAAATTTCCAAAGAAGTCACCAAATTGTGGAAGAATAAACTCAATTTTCCTCATGCATCTGATCAAGTTATACAAGCAAAGGTTAATAAAATACTAAAATGTTATGATGAACGTGTCAAGCAGGGAAGCTACGAACCCCTTGATAAAATTTTTGATATTACTAAAGTGGATGGAACATGATTATCTTCCGAGGCAAGACATTGTACCATCTCCAAATGAAAGCAAACAAAGATTTGGATACTCTACAGGCTAAGTAGCCAGTAAAGAAACAATCCATTCCATTAAAAGGCAAAAACTTTCTAATGAGTCATCCAACTCATTATCTTACTATCCTGGTTTTAGTGATTCTGACTCTGAGGCTGACAACAGTGAATATGAAAACAATGTCCTTGGCTTGGTAGATGGCAGGTATTTAACTATTGCTCAAGGAATTTCTAAAGTCTTTGATGAATTTCATCTATGGAACTGCTGATACCACCAGCATTAACACTGGAAAAAAGAATGGTGTTGTTGTAATATTGCAGCCAACGTTCACAGAGATGCATCAAAAACATGCATCAACAAACCTCATGCACAACATGCATCAACAAACCTCAGTTTATCAATTGTCAACACCATGTATTAGATAGAATCCTCTGTTTGGTGATGGATGAAGAACTTGGAAATAAAACACAATTGCCAAACACCAAACATCCATTTGTATCTCAACTGTTGAAGGAGTACGAACAACTAAAAACAGAGTTTGATAACGGAACAGAAGTAATTCTCGAAACATCAGGCTGGAGAGATAGTATGAAATTTTTGTTTTATCTCACTCAAGTGTTCCGATTTTTTGAGGAAAAGGGACATTTTCCATTGATCAGATTACAGAAAACATCCAACATCAGCAATACGAGGTGTAACTCCAGAGCTATACTAGCGATCCTGGCCTTCATTTTAATTCCTTCAACAAGGACAGCTGCAGAGAGCTGCATATCGATTTATATCGTATGGCTGGGCATACCATTGGTTTACAGTCCAACTGTACAAGGAAAAAGACTTAATAACTTGGCTGAAATACTGAATCCATACAAAAAGGCTTTAAGCTCTTTGAAAAATTAATGGAAGCGAGAGCCATCCATACTACAGATACCCAGAAGTAATCAATGCGTAGAGCGCACAATCAAAGTAATGGCGGAAATTTATTCATCATGCAAAAATAAAGACAAATTGCAAAAGATTACCTCTTTTTTTTTAATTGAATAATTAGCAGAACCATTTGCAAAGAGCTTTTTCCTCTAATCTATCTTTCAAGTATAATGACCAACAACTCTGTTGCTAAAGTTGTTTCTCACTTGAGCCCTCCTCCACAACTTGTTTTAAGCTGAAACCTCCTAAAGCTTGTATTTTAATTTCATAAAAATTTGTTTTCAATTTATTCACTGTATACAATGTTTATAAATATACAACAAGCCTTCCCAGGAAAAGTATGCGGTTTTTCGTCTTGTGTGACCACACGCGAGTATATTATTTTAGACAACTTGAACACAGCCATTTGCAAGTTTTATAATAATGCTGAAGTTTCAAAAACAAAAAAAAAAAAAAAACTAACAAAATAAAAAGAGATTGAAATAGAAAAAAATAAAAACAAATTAATAATTTAAATAATTTGTGTACTGTATTTATTTTTGTTTCTTTAGAGTGGTTGTTACATTCAGCAACAAGATGAGATAAGGCAAAGCAAAAAAAAAAAACAGTTTAAAGTCTACAATAAAAAGAATGATTTTCCTTTTCTTAATTTTTTTTAAGAGGATAGCAAAAATACAAATTGCAATGTGTTTGTAAAATTTATTTGAATAATTTTAATGTAACAACAAGGGTTGAAGTAAGCAAATATAAAAGGCAAAATCTGGAAAAATATCTAGTATTCAAAATTTTAGTTTATACAAAACCGTGTTTCTTGTTTTGAAGAGGAGAATCAAGTTTGTTAACAAAAAAATAAAACAATAAACTTACGATTACAAAAGTAATAACACTCTAGTCACTAACTGCATTACAAAAGTAATAACACTATAACAGTGTTATTACTTTTATAACACACTTATAACTTTTAAAATTAATTCTTTGTTCAAGCAACATTAATATTCCCAAATTTTAATTGAAGTAGAAAAATATCTAGAAGAATAAAGTGGATGTTCAAATAATATTAAAACTTTATAAAAATGTATCGTATTAAAAGTTTACTATTATGAAAAACGTTACTAATGGACCGTAAAAAGGCGCGTTAATTTTAAAATTAACCAATAAAAAATTTTTATTGGTTGATTTTAAAATTAATGCGCATTTTTACGTAACGTTTTTTGTAAGCTATACTTTTTATAAAGTACTTTTCAATAATGTTGTTTAAGTGATCTGTGAAAGTTCCTGAAATTTTTAATATTTGAATATCCGCTTTATTTTTTCTAGATGCCTTTCTACTTTAATAAACATTTGGAATTAATAATGCTGTTTGAACAAAGAATGAACTTTAAAAGTAATAAGTGCTTTATAAATGTAATAACACTGTTATAGTTTTATTACTTTTATAATGCAGTTAGTGACTAAAGTGTTATTACTTTTGTAGTTGTAAGTTTATTGTTTTTGTTTTGTTTTTTGTAACTTTTTACCAAGCAAACTTTTAATAATTTGCTCCTTATAAGCAAAGTACACAGCTTTGCATGAACTAAAAATTTAAAGACCTAATATTTTACCAGAGTTTGCAAATTGCGATCGTATAGTTTAACTCTTGATATAAACTTGTTACATTATAATTATACAAATATATTTTACAAACAGATGACGATACATATTTTCTCTTTTCTCTTTAAAAGAAAAAACACATAAAATATGGGAAATTTATCCTTTTTAACGCCTAAAAGCATTTTTTTTGGTTTGAATTTTGTTGCCGATAATAATAACCACTGAGAAAAAACAAAAATAAAAACAACACACTAATTATTTAAACTATTATTATTGTTTTCTATTTATGTTTACTTTAATTTGTTAAGTAGTTATTAAATTTAAATAATTTTTCAGCAACGCATATAATAAAACTTGCGCAAATGATCATGATCACGTTTTTTAACTTGAAAATGTTTTCGTGGTCTTACGAGACGAAAAACCCCACACCTTTCCTGGGAAGGCTTGTACAATGTTTATACAATGTTTGTAAATATATTTTTTTCAAATGTAGATCATGTAAAGCATGTATCTCTAGTAAAATTTTAAGAAAATTTCGAAAACTTTTATAAATTTATTTTCTTATAATGGCTCACAATTTACTTGGGCAGTTGAAATGTCCTCTGTATAGCTCGATTGCATTCTGTTATTTTTTGTCAATGGAATAGAGATTACAAAAAAAAAAGTTACAGATAAAACTTGACACACAAAAAAGCAACTTAATAAAAAAAAAAAACAGTACCTTCGTGCTTCTTCTTTTTCAATTTGAGAGTAACTTGAGTCCATGTTTTTTAAATCTTCATCATCAGTGTCTGAATATCTAATAAAAACATTATATATATTTTTAAACATTATTCAACTCCACAAGGCCGAGAGAGCCATTGCATTGCTTGGAAGATGTAAAGTTGACATCTCAAAAAGAGTTGTCTACTCAGTAAGTGATGCCATTCCTCAATATATAACAATAACCAGTAAACAACTAAGATTTGTTTGGGTTAAATTTCACCAGCCATATATATATATATACACACACATACATGCATATACACACACACACACAGATATATATATTATATATATATATATATATATATATATATATATATATACATATATATATACATAAATATATATATATATCAATACATACATATATATATCAACCCTTCAAATTAGGAAAAATGATTATTTTGTCGACCTGATGCTGACCTCAATCTTTTTGAGGTAGACAAAAATTATTTGATACAAAGGTCTGACCATAAAACATAAAAACGAGGTCGGCAAACACATTTAGGTTGGCATTAGGGCTGAATGCTGGTCCTAATTCCGAGGGTTGTGTGTATATATAAATTAAAAAAAAAAAAATTTACAAAAAAGTTGAGCTAAACAGAACCACTTAAGCTTTAAACATTTTTTTTAGAAAATATAAATTTCAAAAACCATAAAAAAAAAATCCACTTTCACAGGTCCAAAAAAGAACTTTTTTCGTTTGATATTTTCATTTTAATAATATATTTGATTTTCAGATTTTATTAATACGACTTGCTTTAAAGAACTATAAAGATTATTTTTAAATCTTTTATGTACTTTGTTTTTAAAATAAGCATATTGATTGTATTAATTAAGAATAAACATATAACAAGAAGATGTTGGTGGACTTAATATGCATTCGGAATCTTTTTTATTTTTATTTAAACATGAATTTTTTTTCAAACTTTATCTAGGCTACTTATCGCTACAAGTTTTTTTCTATCAAAATGATGTTTTAATAGTTAATTTATCTAAACAAAAGTTTTTATGATGGACAAATTAAATGATCGTATTTATAAAGGATATTTGACAGATTGCTAAACTTTTTTAATTAAAAAATATATAGATAATTATGTTGATTATATGGTTCAAATTGCAAAATTTTGTTAATTTAAATATAAATAAAAAAGTATTTGAATAAAAAGGTAAGTTCGCTATATTCAAGGTTGTATTCGTAAAGAAGGTCCATTACACTATTTCCTGGGTCTTTACCAAAGAATGATAATAAAGGAGGTACTTTAAGAAAGTGCATCACACTCTTAATATTTACAAGAACAGCTAATCTTTAGTTAACCTTTTACTTCTCCTTTGTTTAATTCAATTAATGTTTTTCCATCAAGATGCACTATGCATGCGTATGTAGATTTATTCATTGCTTGTTAAACATCTTCAGCTATCCTGTATATATCAATAAAATTTCACTACTAAAATAAAAAATCAAATCAAAGAGATATCACTATTTCATCAGTTTTTCTAGTTGCTGTAAACTGAAATCATTTGAAATCTGTCTGATCAGCTCCTGATTAAGATTAAATTGCATGTGTGTTAAAATTATTTTGTGTAAACTTAAATATCACAATTGTAGCAATAATAGCATATTATTATATATTATTGCTACACAATTATAACAATAATAGCTACTTTGATTAAAAGAAGAAAAATTTCTTCTTTTAATCAAAGAATATATTTTCTCTTCCTGGTCTTCCAGAAACTCTAAATCTTTAAGGTTGTCTGCATCAACGTTTTTCATTCTTTTTTATTGTATTCCTATAATTAGGCATGCTAGCGCTAATACTTTTTCAGATAAACTATAATCTTTTTATGCTTTTACCTTGGCCAAATTACAGTCACATTTATTTTCTATTGCACATCTTTTAATATTTTGTAAGCAAGAACAGCTGCTTTTTCTGCTCTTGGAAAAAATGATTTGTTGTAAGCTATGTGTTATCTGTGTTGTCTCTATTCTTGTTGAAAGTTGACAGCTTTAATTAAAAAAAAAAAAGATAAAAAAAATGTTTAGCTATATATTTTTAAGAAATAAATTATTAACTGATTATTATCTTTTACTGCTGGCTTAGCTTTTTTGCATAATAAACAGTTTCTTTTCAGAACTTAGAGTTCTATTATTACTTGTTTTTTAGATACATTTCTTGATCATTATACTTAAATTACTTCATTGAAATTTTTACTAAGCTAAAAAATCAAATTAAAAAATAATTTTATAAACAATATTTTGTGGAGAATAAGTTATAACACTTTCTCAATCACATAATTTTATTATCAAATTATCTTTTTTACAAAAATGTTTAGGGGTGTAAGGATTGGGTGGTCCTATTGAGCAGACAGCTTTTATTAGCAAGTATATTAGCGTTTATTTTATTTAGCAAGTGCATTACTCACACATGCTGGTAAGCACATATATAATTTTTTTACTTATTTTGAAGGCTTATTGCACTTGCTACAAAAAGTTAAGAGTACTTGCTGCAAAAAACTAAGAGCATTTTTTTTTATCATAAAGTGTTTTTTTTTGAATCAAAAAACTTGATAATTGTAATAACCTGAAGCTTGCACATTGCTATTAACATTATAAAATCATAACTTGTTAATTTCATTGTTAACCTATCAGAAACTATTTATTGAAATTCATTTACAAATCCACTATTTAGTTATTGCTAAGTATTTTTTGAAAACTGAAAAAAAAAAACCTCAGTTTTGATAAAATCAACCTCAGTTTTAATAAAATCAACCCTCAAGAAAAGTAAAGACAAAACAAAATGATTATTTTTTGACTGAAAAATTATTAAAGAAGGAATTAAATATTGAATTTTGATTGGAGCAGGATGTATGGCAATCATATCAGGACAAAACCAACTAAAATAATGACTAGGACAAGTATAAATCTAAAACAACTAGAGAAGTTATAATTTTCTACATTTATTCAATTCAGTTACTCCCACAGGCATACAAGCTGATAACATAACATGGATAACAAAATGCTATTTTCCAAGGGTGATTATCAATGACAAACCTTTCAAAAAAGGTAAAAAGATTAAGTGTATATATATTTTTTTTATATTTATAGATTTTTTTGACTGCAAAATTGTTAAGGAAAAAGAAACTGAAAATTTTAATTTTATTTGCTGTAAGATAATGTAAATAACATTTACCCAAATCGACAAAAACGGTATCAAACTGTTAGTAATTTGGTTACAAACGGTATCAAAAAACTTAGTAATTTGGTTACAAAAAAACAACAAGAAACTATCAAAAAGTTGCAACAATTTTTATACATTCTTTTGAGGACCAAATTACTTTTCTTTTTTGCCTCGATATTTTAAGGCTATAAGATATTTGATGTATTTACTAAAGCCTCTGTCAGCAGGCTATTTCAGTGTCATATCACACTGCTTAGGGATCATCCATAAATTACACAACAATAAATTTCACTAATAAAGAAAACAGAAAAAATCAAAAGTAATCCCTCACAGAGCCTTAATTTAAAAAATAAAAACAGCCTATTAAGTTTAATGAAAGCTGATGCGTAAAAGAGCTTAAGATCTCCTATTTCTTTTTTAAAAATAAATTTAGTTGTGTTGCATAATTTATGAACGATCCCTTATCTAAACATGCATTTATAGTTGTATGTATATATATATATATATATATATATATATATATATATATATATATATATATATATATATATATATATATATATATATATATACAGTAGCTTTCATAAATTTAGACGCATTCATTTTATTTTCATATATGCAAGAAAATACTCAAAATAAAAAAAAAATAAAAGTACTACCGCTATGTTTGATATATAATTTACAAGAGGAAGTGAAACTCTATTTATGAGTACCTTAATTTTTTTTTTACAGGATGTTTATTACTCATTTTATACCGATTAACACAAAAAAGTTAATTTATAAGCTTGATTTTATTTTGTTCATAAATTTAGACGCACAACCAAAAAAGTCTTATATCTTGTTAATTGATAGTTAATTAGTAGTTTTTTCCCCATATTTCTCATTAATAGGCCTAAAGTAATTGATTTTGTCAAAAAACCTTATATAAATATGACTTACCTGGAATTAGTTAATCATTATTTAATAAATAAACAAAAGTTAAGTTAGTTTTGCACTAAAAAGACGCGAAAAATGGACAAAAGACGTATCACTCAAGGTGAAAGATGGCAAATTATTGCGCACATCAAAGAAGGAACCAAAAGTAATAGAAAAATCGCCAAGTTAATTGGAGTTTCTAAGAAATGTGTTCGGACAACGAAACAAAACTTTCTTCACACTGGTGGTGCCAGCAAGAAAACGAGGCCAGGTAGACCCTTGTCAACCACCAGAAAGGAGATAATGTTCATTTTAAAGCTGTCAGAGCTAATCCAAGAATTAGTTACAAAGAATCAACCACAGAATTTAATACAACGCGAAATACATCTATTTCTCAAAGCACAGTCCGCCGAATACTTATCAAATACAAGATTGGAGTCTACACTGCTTTGAAGAAACCGCTTCTGCGTCAATATAATAAACAAAGGAGACTAAAATGGTGTCGTGAAAGAAGGTATTGGACAATAGAACAATAGGAAAACATTATGTGGAGTGATGAGAGTAACTTTGAGCTTATCAATCGCAAATCTAACATAACAGTCAAAAGAATGGCTCATGAAAAGTATTACGCCAGGTACATTAGACCGACTGTACATAGTGGAGGAGGCTCGATAGGAATCTGATCATGCTTCAATTACAAAGGTGTTGGTATGTGCCAAACATACACCGGAAGAATCAACTCCAGAATATACATATAAGTACTGGTAAACAACTTAATTCCATCAATTGACCTGCTTATGCTCAATGATAAACCATGGAAACTTCAACAAGATGGCGCTACTGCACATACTGCATACTATACAAAGGAGTGGTTCAACGATAATAGTATCATGACAATACCCTGGCCTTTATACTCACCTGATTTAAACCTGATTGAAAACATTTGGGCTTGGATTGACCGTGAATTAGCAAAGGTTCAAATTTCCACACTTACTCAGCTGAAGGAATTCCTTAAGGAGACCTGGTATGGGGTCCCAGAAGCGATGTGCAAAAATTTTGTTGAGTCTATGCCTAGAAGAGTTCTTAGTTGTATTAAAGCAAAAGCCGGATACACAAAATATTGATTGGTTCATAAATTACGCCTTCTAATGTATCGTGCGTCTAAATTTATGAATAATTTTTTTTGTCTAATTTTTTTAATACCATGTAGTTGTACCTAATTATTATTTAGTATTTCATTTTTTTTGTAAACTTTTTTAAAATTTTGTATTCTGTATGTATTTATCTAATAAATAGAAAAAAAACTAAACCAAAATCTTTTTTCGTCATTGTTTTATCGTTGAAAAACTAAAAATTTCTTTTCTCAAATATGAGTGCGTCTAAATTTATGAAAACCACTGTATAAGCAAATATAAATTTAAAAATAATGTAATTAATTGTAAATAATGTAATGTATTGTAATGATGTAATGTAAATAATGTTAACTAAATCATGTTTAAAATTAGAGTGAAGTTGACAAAATCATCTAAAAAAAGTTAGTTTAAATCTTAATAACTTTCTTTGTCGTTCTTTGGTTAAAATGCAAGTTGTTAACTTTAATTAATATTGTTCCAAAGTTGTTGTTTTTTTTAAAAGAAAGCCTGTCAAAGATAATCATTTTTTGTTCAATTATTGTTCACGACCCCTGTAAAACCTTATAAATGTTTTGCAATAAAAAAGATCTGCAAATAAAATAAAAAGCAAATGATATAGATATGTACAAATGTTTAGGGTAACTCCATCCAGCTTCTACCACAGACATAATATTCGATAGTGAAATGAAATGCAAATTTTTATGTTCAATTACGCCAAGAGTGATAAACCATTAAAAAAATGCAAATAAAAATTATTTTTTAAAAACTCACACACCAGCCTAATAATAATTTTAGCCAGCACTCACAGTAAATTACAAATGAAAGTGTCTGATTGAGCTCAATGTTTTAGTGAATTTTTTTAAATATTTGCCCCATCTTGAAAGTATGGTATTTTAAATTTAAGAATTTCCTTAAAACCTATCTTTTGTATATATACTGATTATAGTAACAGCAGAGTAATAAAACCACAATAATAATCATAATAAAAAATAAAAAACATTTTATATATATATATAAAAAAGGGTAATTTTTTTTATATGTTATATATATATGTTATACATATATGTTATACATATATGTTATACATATATGTTATACATATATTTTATATGTTATACATATATGTTATACATATATGTTATACATATATTATATGTTATATATATATATGTTATACAACATAAATTATTATTAATTAAACTGTATTTTATAAAAATTGTTTGCAATAAAATTTCATGCATTAGAAAGTTTCTTCATCTTTGTGTTTTTTTCAAACATTAATTTATGACTAATTTTATATTTTTACCAATAACTTTTCTACATTTGATTAGTTGAGAGCAAGGGTGGTGTAAGTCAATGTGGTCAATTTCAGTTCTGATTTGACTTAGGCCATTCTTGCCAAAGCAAAAACCAGCTGTTCAGTAAGCACAATCAAGTACATGCTGCAATCTAGGGGTGAAAATGATATGACTTACACCTCTTTTACCAATAATTGCTTGAGTAATAAACTATTCGAATGTTGACTTAACTCAAATCACAATTTTTCTTGACTTACACCACCTTTGCTCTCAACGACTCATTTGTACTCAGATATTTTAAAAATTTATTTTTTAAAATTTTAGTTAACAAAATACTTTTTGACATTTTAAACTAATTTTAAACAATACAATAACAAAAATTTCATTTTTGTTATTTTATTGTAGATAAACTTTAATACAATATATTTATAAATAAATTTTAAATTTTTTTTGGTAAACATAAAAAGAAAAGTGATACAAGCGAAAGAAAAGAGTTCATGCTTTTATAATCAATATATAGTACCATAATTGTTCAACTACAATTTAAGTTTAATTAATTATGAATAATTACATTAATTTTATATTTAATATATTTTATATTTATATATTACACATTTTACGTTTAATTATATAGTTTTCAAGTTTAATAAAACATAAAACTTAAATATTAAATAAAACCTTGATCTGTCATAGCCAAATATTTTTTTGATATAGTGAGAAACATCTCCAGGTTCTTCAGAGTTATCAATGAAGTCATCATCTTCTGAATCATATTCATCAAGATCATAATCCTCTTCGTCATAAATATCTGCTTCTTTTAAGTCATTATTTCCTGTTTTAAAAAAATGGACACAAAGTGTAAACATAATTCAATACTTGTTATAAAAGATTATATCAAAAAACTAACATTACAACACCTGTGACACGTCTCATTTCAAACAGTTTTCTTTTCCTTGCTAATATGCGCTCTTCTTTTTCAAATTCACTTTCTATATCTTTAGCTGACTTTTTTGATGTATTTTTCACTATCGTTTTGTCAGATAAAATTTTTTTAACACTACTTTTGGGTTCAATGATTGCTTTTGCTCCTTTGTTTTTAATACTACCTTCGCATATGGTTTCAGCAATTAAGCCACACTTACCACCACTTGAAATTTTCTGTTTTTTGCTTATAGCATTAGTTAAATTATTGTTGTTATTTTTTTGAGTTATTGGTAATCTAGAAGAATTTTTATTTGAAATAGTTGAAACTAGTTTTTGATCTTTATTTTTGGTATTTATTTTGTCTGAACTACTTGCAGCCAAAACGATTTTTTGATTTTTCGAACTGTTTTGAATTTTTTTAACCTTCACGTTCTGGTCAGGATCAATAATATCAGATTTCTTTTGAATAGGTTTCTTAACACTTAAGTTTTCAACTTTAGCTGTTTTAGAGTTTGTTTTTGCTAATGCAGCTAGTTCTGCAAAGCTCATACTACTCTTAGCTAACTTACTAGGCTTTGGATTATTTTCCTTAGTTTGAGCATGTTTTTGAGAATTTCCTATTTCAGATTTACTTTTTAAATGTGATATTTCCACTTGTTTGCTAACTGGTTTATCCTTTTTGGTATTTTCTATTGACTTGCTTAGCAACTTTATTTCCATTTTTTTTTTCACATTATCAGCAACCCTCAAGTCAGTCTTTTGATCAGTATCTTTTTTGCTTGATATATTTTGATGTTCTGATTTTTCTTTTTTAACTGGATCGGAAGATTGAAGTCGTGCTAAAATTCGTTGTTTGCGGGCTTCAATTTCTTTTGCTAAAAGTAAATAATAACCACACTACCTTTTTAAAATATAAAACAATGTTTTTTTTTCCTTAATATAACAAAAGGTTTTTCGTTTAAATTTAATCATCTTCTTTAATTCAACTTTAATTATTCAATTTCAACTTTTCCAACTATTTAACTTTAATTATTCAATAACCTTGCGCTTCAATAAGATATTTTAACAGGACATTTTTAATCCTTATAAACTGCAGGCTATTTACTACTTATTAAACATTAGTAAAAACTTAGTAATGTTTAAGATGTGAAAATGAAAAATTCAAACAATGTTATCTTTTTTTTTAAATAAATGAAAGAAAAATTATATTTCTTTGAGAACTCTTGTCATCTCTTAAAATATGGGCCGGCATTCGGAAATGCCAACTTAACTGCAGACCTTAACGTGTTTGAGGTCAGTAAAAAATCACATACCTCATTTCTATGTTTAATGGTAACCTGTGTCAATTTTTTTTTTTTTGGCCAACCTGATGCCGACCTTTAACAGTTTGAGGTCGGGAATTTTTTGCGACCTCCTTTTTCTAATTACGAGGGTTGCGTGCAATTAGCTACCGCATTAGTACCAAGTATTACCATACCATTAAATGGAAAAAATATATAATAATTTAAATTCTTTTATTAACTTGTAATATTTATTTAAATGTTAATAAAAATGTTTTTAGCATAACATAAATAGTACCTAAAATGTGTGATGCATTTTACGTACTATTTATGAGAAAGATTGCTTATTTTTTTGTATAAAAATAAACACTCAATTCGAGTAAAAAACTAATGGCGTATATCAATATATACCAATTAGTTTTTTAGCATGTGCTTTATTTGAAAATAGTAAAAAAGTTAATGTTATCAATAGTTTATAATATAACCTTTATTTATGTAAATTATTTCTAGTCTACCTTTATCCCTATTAGGAAAAATGACTAAAATATGCAAGAACTCCGCTGAATGCAAAATATTTTCAGAAAAAATAGCAAAGGGCGGCTTAAAACATCGACGGGCGACCAACATTACCAATTTAGTTACTTTCAGTTGCCCTTTTGGCAAGTGACCAAATATCTGAGTGTCAACACCTCTCTGTGTGTGTGTGTGTGTGTGTGTGTGTGTGTGTGTGTGTGTGTGTGTGTGTGTGTGTGTGTGTGTGTGTACACACACACAGTAATATATAATATAATTTTTTGAAAAAAAAATTAAAGCTAAGTATTGACTAATCTATCATACGTTTTTTTTTATCTTTAGTGTTTTATATAAAGCTTAAGATCACAATAAAGTGATCTATTATAAATCAAACCATAGTATAGTTATATGTATATATAAAATATATAAAAGTTCAAGTAATAAATTTTAGGATTTTCGGTAATCATCAAAGATTAAAGTTTTAAAATTCTAATTTTTTTATTTTCTGATTTATTTAGGTTTTTAAAATTATTACTAAAATCACCTTGCAATAGAATTATAATAATTATCATATGTTTATGTGGTTATTAGATTAATTTCAGTCAACATTTAGAATTTATGTGGTTATTAGCCTAATTTTAGTCAACATTTAGAAATTGTAACTTGTTTTTGATGGGAAACATATTTTTTCATGTATTTTTTGTTCAATAGACAAAAGACTTTGTTTTCTATAACAATATGTAACAAAAAAAAAAAAAGTTTTATATAATATTTCTTAAAATTAATTTTACAAGAATTAATTTTCGACTGGATTTATTTTTTTTTTCAACTAAAGTAGATCAACATTATAATCAATGAGAAAACAATATGTGGATAAAACCAATTCATATACAAAAACTAATAAAAAGAAAAATATATCTATCTATTACTCAATATTGGAACCACTGAGTCTAAATTTTTTAGTGCAGAAACTCAGTGCCTTGTTGATATTGTTTTGGAGTACATATCTGGTTGCAAAACCAAATTGAACACAAATTCTTTTCACATTGAACCATTAAATCATGGAAAGTACTTTGCACTTTTTTTAGTATGCTTGTATTGTCTGCATAGTTTATATTATGTTTTGTAAGCCTTTTTTTATTTAATTTTTACATCATGCAATGTTTAAACTTTCTCCATCATTTCGGCTTCAGGTAAAACTTCTTTTTTTAATTCTTACATTGTTTATTTTAGATTTTCGGATATGTTTATTAAAGTCATCAATTTGTGACAGAAATATTTTCATTGCAGATTCTAAACCAATTTTAATTAAAATGCATGCTTGGTTATAATATTTAACTGAAATATTTGACATAGGTGTAGAGAAAATCGACAAATGGTGTGCAGTAGTGATATAGTCAATACTGATTGTGATGCTAGCTCTTGTGCTGGATATATAAATGCTATTTTTAACTTTGATACGTAAATATTAGACTTATTAAAAGGAAATGGTTGTTTTTTTATGACTGACTGTGTGTGTTCTGGTGAAGCACTTGTCACTTTCATCTAAAACTTTTAGTAAACTTGGAAAACTAGCTTTACCAACATTTTTCCATTTTAATGATTTATATATGATTTTAATACATTTTTCCAAGTAAATTTAACATAAAAATATATTCCAACGTCCAGTGGCAAAATATGACTTTAATGAGATTGGCAGACCAATCATTTTCTTTTTTTGTTGTAGAAATTTTTTTTTTGTTGTTGCATTTAATACACACACAAAAAAAGAAAATGTCATTAAATGAATGATAATATACATTTTATAGCACTCATGTGTCATTAAATGTATATTATCATACATTTAATGATACATGAGTGCTATGACCATCTAATACAAGAATCTGCTCCCCACCAATCACTTGAACTGCTAGTATGAATAGTGGTTCAACCACTCAATAAATTGTAATTTCTCCATCCATCCTGAATCTGATCTTATATCAATCATGAACTAAAAATGGTTAAATCATTTTTGCATCATAATTGATATAAGTATCTTTTTGATTTATAAACGACAAATGGAGGAAAGTAGAAACCTGATGCATTAACATAGTTGTTTACAACATAAATAATTTTTTTTATTATTTCTTGTAAGATTGAGAAATTGAAATTTTTACTTGGTCACTACTAAAACCACACTCATTGCAATTCAGAACATGTGAAGCCTCTAAGTTATCAATTTTGGCTTCATCGTATTGTTTCTTTTATTTGTTAAAATATTTTTCAATTACAATGGATGTGCAAGATGATGCTCTGTTTGATGCAATGTCATCTGCTCTGCGTAATGCTACATCATGCTTTCATAACACCGCTGTAATGAAGGTTTGCCATTTTTGTTTTGTGTTTTTCAAATAGTGTTGAACAAAAGATATTATATCAGTTTCTGTCAAACCATAACCCCAATCACTAAAACATTGAATTAAAATTAATCAATAATTTTGTAGTTTTTTTTATTTTTTATTTCAATTCAATTCCCAAAGGCCACAAAGGCCACTACAGTCAAGGAGGTTACCTTTAGTTATGGTTACAAACCTGTTTCAACCCTATAACTCGAAAACACAAACCTTGACAAACAAAGCCACTGCGCGAAGAAATAAGTCGAGCATGGTACTACCAGGGATGTGGTGGGGATGGAACTCGGAACTTTTTGCTTGTGAGTCAAGAGCTCTACCACTATACCACTACCGCATTCCAGTTTCAACTGATAAAACTGTTGGCTTTCCGCGTTTTTACTTTTATTTCTGTCAATAAATGTCAATTTTGGTAAATTTAACTTGAATGCACACTTTTTTAATGATATTCCTTGCTCTCTATGAAGTTTTAAAGCATTTTCAACATTTTTTTAAATGTAGTTGATGTTTGGCATTTATTGATGATGATGTTTTTTTATTTTTTATATCAGTTTGCAGAAAAAAAGTTTAGTATTAATAAAAGCATTAATTAGCATATTAAAAACATTAATATAAAAAGCATTATTTAGCATATTAAAAGAAAGATTATTTATTAATATTGAGTGACTTTAGTAAAATATTATCTTTTTTAGTTATTATCAAAAAACTTCCTTATTTTAAAACATAATAAAATAAAAATATTGTCATTAAATTTAGATTATAAAACTCTATTAAAGATAAGTTTCCAAGTATTTGAAATGGTCGCAAAGCTGTAGCAAGACGGTTGTGTGACCATAGGGAAACATTGGTCATGCCACAAACTTTGTCTCGCAAGATTGTTTTATTGTTGTGCCATAGGTGTAATAGAGATAGAAAAAATTTATACCTCTACAACAATTCTCACATGACCCTAAAATATGATTAGCTGCTTCTATTTTCTGGGCATTGTTTTATATTTTAATTGGTTGATACTCAATAACGCAACCGAATATTTTTCAAAAATAGAATGTAAACAAAAATAAGTTTAATGAAAACATTAGGTCATAGGAAAGGGCTGTTGCAAGAACATGGTCGCACAACTGTCGTGCAACTATATGGAAACCAACACTAAACAGTATTTTTTTAAATTTTTAAACTAGTTTATGATTTAAAATTTAGGAAGTTTTAAATTAGTAGATATAGTCTTTCCAAATTGATGCACCAAAAAACCACTTTACCCTTATAAAAATGTCATCAAACAAAAATATTTTTTACATGTTCTGATAGGTGTAGTCCTACTTTATATTGATCTGCTTTTACATTATGATAAAACTTTTTGTTTAAATAAATTTTAATTAAAAGCAACAGACTTAAATAGTGTATATACAAGTTTGGAGAGGAAAAAAAAATTAAAACCATTAGAATAAGTATATTTGCAAAACCTAATAATAACATAATTCTTTAAACATAACAAAAGGTCCATTTGGGATACTTGCATAACTTGTAGGGTCAGCATCACCTGCATAAATGTAGGATAAGAAAAATTCCATAGATTGTATCGACTCTGTGATGACCACACAAATACAGATTTTGATTAACATAAATTTTATTGCAAATATTATTTTTTTAAATAAATTTATCTATTAACAAAAGTTTAATTTAACAATTAATAAAATGATATTAAAATGATATTATATACGTTTGATTAATAACAAAACTTTTATTTTCCTATATATAAACATTTGTTGGATCAATTATTTGATAGACAGCTTTGTTCTAAAAGATTTTTTATAAATTGATTATTTATGAACTGCAAGAATTTAAAAGAAAAATTCAAAACTGATACTTTTTAATGGGGCAAATAAACATTTATAAAATTAATAAGAACTTTTGAGTTTTCAAGAAAATAATATTTTTGAAAAAATCAAAGAGCATTTTTAAGCATTAGAATAAGGATCAAAGAATATCCAGGTCATTTTTTAAAAATCCAGAAAACCATTTGGGTAAAATAATATTTTCCTATTTATTTTGCTTTTAGTTGAGTGTTTCCAATTTTTTTTATCCAAACCTTTCTTACTTTTTGTATGAATGATGAGTGAAAAAGCTTAAAAAAGAAAGATATTACAGAATATATACCTAAACTTATATGTACGGAAAACATTTTGGATATCTGGATAATAGTTGAGAAAAATGTTCAAAATTGTGGAAATATCCAGAAAAAGATAACCCCTAAAGGATGTATAACTGATAAAAGAACATAATATTAAAAACAAAGTTGCAACATTTTATTTTTGATTGATTTGTATATATATATATATATATATATATATATATATATATATATATATATATATATATATATATATATATATATATTTATATATATTTATATATATATATATATATATATATATATATATATATATATATATATATATATATATATATATATATATATATATATATATATATATATATATAATGCATATATAAACAGACATTTTAGTCACTAGATTATTATAAACACAATCCAACAGCATTGCCATAAGTAACTGCAAAAACAAAACAAACAAACCTTTTATGATTTCAGCTTCTTCTCTTTTTTTTGACAAATATTTTGCCACAGCAGAGGATGATACATTTTTGCTATCATATTTATTAGCAGAGAACTTTGCAGCCTAAAAATTTTAATATTGGTATGTGAGACTTTAAACTTTGAAATCCTAATGAATAATTTAACTATTGAAAAATCAACTTTCATGAAATTAATAAATACCAATCAATGTTCACCACCTTCTTTTTTGAAAGGGATGTATTTCCCTCAGCAATCTGCAGTAAATCTTTAAAGTCCATTATTTTAAAACAAGTATTTTACTGTATTCTTTAAAGTTGAGAGCGCTTGAGTTTTTTCTTATGTGTCTTAAATTAAATTTTTAATTAATTATTAATTAAGATTTCTTATGTGTCTTAAAACATATAACAAGTTTAAATAAATGAAATCAGATATAAATATAAAAATAGGTCGAAATAGGTGTTGGACATCATTACCCCTTGAACCATTTTTGAGACCTGCTAGAAGAGATCAACAAATCATTGTTTGTTTTTCAGTAAAAATAAACAATGGTTGGTTGCCCCCCTCAAACAGGTCTCAAAAGCAATCCAAGGGGGCTTTAATGTCCGACACTAATTTTTATTTCTGCAAACTAATACAAAACTAATCAAAAATTTAAAACTTCATTTTCTTGAAAAAAAATTATAAGATCTTCTAATATACATATAATATATCATATATATCTTCTAAATTTACTTCTAAGATCTGTGCAGCAAGGTCTATAGCCAGTACTCTACAGACCTTGGTAGGTCTGTAGCCAGTACACTACAGACCTAGTTTATTCTTCCTGCACAGATATTATAAGTATATTTATATCATACTAATTGTAAACGTAGTTCACCACTTCTAAAACAAACTTTACAGCTCTTTTAGAGATGCAATAAACCCATTCCAGTCTATCAAAGTAAAAAGCTTTTAAAATTGGTCAAAACATTCAATGCATATTTAGATGTCTTTGTGGAAACCAAAATGGTCCTCTTTGTTCACCTTCAGCTAATTTTTTTTATACTGAAGATGAATGAAGAGTTCTTCCAATTTTTTTTTTTTTTTTTTTTGTAATCCACCTCCCCAAGGCCTAGAAGGCCACTATGGATGAGGAGACTACTTGTGGTTATAACTCTCTCTCAATTCTAAGAGTTTAAAAACTAATTTTCTGAATTTTAAATATGATCAGAATTAAGTTTGAAAAATTATTTAATGCTCTGATGTTCTATATCACTATCAAACAGCTGTGAGAAAACTTTAAAAAAATTGTTTAAAATAACTTCCTTGAAGGTTTGACAAAGTAAAATAGAAACAAATTAAGTTATTTAGTTAATTTGGAATCAGGTATTGTATATACTATATACAATACTTTACCCTAGTAAATACAATACCTTTAGTCAAATGTTAATAATATACAAATGTATATAATAAACATGTTTTATTTAATAATCATAAGATTTTTAGTTTTACTATTAATAAGATTATATATATATATATATATATATATATATATATATATATATATATATATATATATATATATATATATATATATATATATATATATATATATATATATATATATATGTATGTATATCCATTTCAGTGGAGAGACTTTCGGAATGGTGGACACTTTTTTATAACAAACTTTATAGATAACTTAAAATATTAAAAAAAATAAAAAAGAGTAAAATAAGAAAAATAAAATAAAAATAAAGAGAGCGCTGAAAAGAAAAAAAAGAAATAAAAAAGTAAAATCATAAACAAAAAATTAAAAACCAAATCAAACAAATTAAAAAAACTAAAAAAAGAAACAATAGAAGAAAGACAAAAAACCAAAGTTAAAAGATAAAAACATTCAAAAATGGTAGTAACAAAAAAGAATGAAAATAAAAAAATTGCTCCGTTTTTGAAGAAACAAACAAAAAAAAAATTTTATTTTATTAATTGTGAGGGACGATATGTGTTTGATGGGTATAAAGATATGATTTCCTTTTTTATTTGAATATTTTCATTTATTATGAAAACTCTATATATCTATATATTATGAAAACTCTCTCTCTCTCTCTCTCTCTCTCTCTATATATATATATATATATATATATATATATATATATATATATATATATATATTTTTGCACGACCTAATGTTGGTGTATTTGTGTGCGTGTGACACGTTTTTATTTGTAAGTGTTATTGAAAATTTGTTTGTTTGTTTATCTATTGTAATTTTTTAATGAAACATTTATATTACGTTTATTGTTTTTATTTTGATTGATATTATGATTATGATATTGTTACTTTTTTTGCAGTAATTGTTTTAGTTACATCATAGGTTGTTACATTTTTCAGTACATAACTGTACTTTTCCTGTCTGTGCATAATATTCAATTGTTGTTTGAAAATTAATATTGGTTTATTATTATATAATTTTCTTATTATTCTTATAATTGTTAATTTATCATTATTATTATCATTATTATTGGTATTATTAATACTATTTCATTATCATTATTATCATTATTATTGGTATTATTAATACTATTTTATAGCAATTACTTAAGATTAGTTTTTAACTACTTGTAAATGACCTCGATTGTAAGATCTTTTATCGAAATATATTGATTGATGGATTAATATATATATATATATATATATATATATATATATATATATATATATATATATATATATATATATATATATATATATATATATATATATATATAAAACAACTATTAATAAGACACTTAATAGTATTAACTTAGTATAACATAAAATAATAAAATATTTGCTGAAAATCATGTAAAAATTGTTTTCGCTATAAAATCGGTTGTCTCAGTTGATTATCATTACTTCAAAACATCACTGCTATTTTTATTACTTAAATTGTTGTGTTGACTAAACCTGTTATTGTAGTAACTAAACACATTCATATTTTGAATATATAACAATATTGTTCTACATTCTACATTTGCATATTGTCAATATGCAAATTTAAATTGATTTTCAAGAGTAAGATATTACTAGCGCTTGTTTATAAATTTTTACAATTTTAAAATTTTTATAATAACATTATAAATTTCAAATTTCGAAAGCAAAAATCATGAATATACTTTTAAATAAATTTATGATTTGTTTATAGATTTTTTTGAAAATAAATGTAGAATTTAATATTATAGTCCTCTTTTAAACGGTTTTAAAATGATTTATGACTCTGAAGTATATCTATCATAAAAAATTGCTACAGTTCATATTTTATAGCATTTCAAAACGAAGACATGAAATACTTTAAGACGAGTTTAACCAACTGCGTTCTAATCTTTAAATTGACTTGTCTAGTCTGATGCTGATGCGTAAAAATAGAAATTTTTTTGTGCGCGCGCAATATAAATTAAAAATAAATCGAAATAAGTTCATAGTTTTTAGTCAGACAAAAGCCGTTTAATCAAACAATCTACCTATAGGTAGGTAGTTACTTATAGGTAGATTGTTTGACTAAAATAGCAAATAATTTTTGCTTTGAGTTTTTTTTGAATTTGTGCCAGCGATGGTTGGTCTGGCATCTTATTATTGATTTTTACTTATACTATTATAGTCTATTTTAAAAAATGGGATCGACGAGGGCCGCTCCGACAAAGGAACTCTTTATTCCCAGACTCCAATTATTTAGAGACCGCCTAGGATACTTGCTAAATATTAAAAAGTCTATACAATTATGTTTACAATGTGTTGTATAGATGACATTTAGATTTTGGAGCTTCACAACTTAGTTTTGCACCAGGTCCACCAGCCAGCTTGATATCTTGTATGAAAGTATTTATGAAAATCACAAACATCGATAATAAAAAAAAATTAATGAAATACATAACCGAAAGTTCAATTAGCTATAAATAATGCTAACAATATACGGTACAATGCGATAAATTAGATAAAACTTTAAGAGAGTAGGGGCCATCCATAAAAGACGTCATCATTTTTTAGTCAATTTTTGATCCCCTCCCCCTCCCTTTGTCACCGGTTGTCCTTTTTCCTTATACCCCTCTAGAAAAGGACGTCATAAAATCCTGACCTAAAAAATCTATAAAGTGACGTCTTTTTCTGACAGCCTCCCACTCCTCTTGTCCTTTTTCGTCCTTTTTAACTCAACCGCCTCCCCCCTCCCCTATTTAGATGACGTCCTTTATGGATGGCCCCATAAACAAAAAACAAACTATTTGTTATAATAGTACACGCTATTGTTGTTAAATGAGCAAACAAAATTAAAGATTAAAAATTAAATCGAATGCAAAGATGAAAGGATTTAAAGATTTTTACTCAACTAAATCAAATTTTAGCCGATTAGCAGAAAGTCTACTGTCGATTAAATCGACCAATCGATGTTTCAAAGTCGGCTATTTTCGATTTTCGACTAGTAGATTTTTATTCGATTTAGTCAAAGTTGATAACATATTAGAAATATTAGAGAAAAAAGTGGCTACCAAAAATTTTTAACCCAAATTATTTTAAAATTTATTTCCAAATTTTAAAATTTGGACTAACATTTGAACTAGCACCTATACTTAAAACAAAGGTCATCCAGCACTACAATTTTTATACGATTACTATTGGCGCCAGAGAAGATGCTTGACTGTGGAATACGCCTTGGGGTGTTTTTAGAATCAGAAGTCAGAGATAAATATAATCCATCTTGATTGGCATATTAATCCATCTGGTACTTTAGAGTATGACTGAACTGGTTTCATGAGAATTCAAATAAAATTTTTTTACCCTGCCTAGCAAACATTGAATAGCGTAATTTCAGTGTACCAATATAGGTATTTTGAGAGGACCCCTGTAGTTTTGCTCATTAGTTACCTAGTGAAGCACTAGTAGAAGACGCAAAAAGTGGTTAGCCAATTACTATCCACTATTAACATGTCGGTAAGTTATTGCTGGGTTGTCTGGAAAGAGAAGGGAAAGAGAAAAAAGATTTTAATTAGAAAAAAATTGGGAATCATTAAAAAAAGAGATTTTATTTGTGATGGTAGACAATTGAACTGTGACGAGGCATTAACTTATTACATTGTCTCTAAATGTTCTAGTCATTCTTATAAACAGACACGAAACTGGTTTTTAAAAGCAAGGCATCTAGTTTTATTTTATCTTATTTTGTTCTATGCAAGTTGAAAAGCTGATGTTACCCGTTAGATTGCCATATTTCTGTGACAAAAATACTTGTCTCTGTAACAGATCTAATCAATTTGAGACAAAGAGTTAGGGATGGGAGTTAGGACGATGAATTTGACTCACAAAAGTTGTCATAATGCAACAATTTTATTACGACTTATTTAGTTACTCAACTAAAAAGTT